CCCACCCCACTGTGAACAAAAAGCACACATTTCAGTAATTGGTTCTTTTGTTCTTTTAACGAGGGTGTTTCTAATCGGAAGTGACTAAAATAGGCACACACAAAAATTAATAAAAGTTATGAAAACATCTTACATGGCCTTCCGTCCGATCATTTGAGAGGAAACCCAGCTTAAAAACATCCCACTGGGGTTTAAACCAGAGCCATCCGCATCACCATTGTACAACTTGATCCCAGCTGTGCACGCAGCTGGCCCTTATACCAACTGTACAGCTTGGCCATAATGGCTCTACCCCATAGGTTCCTGCGACATTTTCTGCTGCTTTGTTCGTTCAATCTAAACTCTCTGTTTCTAATACACATTGACACGTATGATCTATCTATCTATCTATTTATTTATCTAGCTGTCTATCTATCTATCTATCCGTCTATCTATCTATCTATCTATCTATCTATCTATCTATCTATCTATCTATCTATCTATTAATCTACCTATTTATTTATCTATCTGTGTATCCATCTATCTATCTATTTATTATCTATCTATCTATCTATCTATCTATCGATCTATCTACCTACCTACCTATCTATCTATCTATCTATCTATTAATCTACCTATTTATTTATCTATCTGTGTATCTATATATCTATCTATCTATCTATCTATCTATCTATCTATACATTTATCTATCCATCTATCCAACTATCTATCTATCTATCTATCGATCTATCTATCTATCTATTTATCCAACTATCTATCTATCTATCTATCTATCTATCTATTTATATATTTATCTGTCTGTCTATCTATCTATCTATCTATTTATCTACCTATCTATCTATCCATCCATCTATCTATCTACCTATCTATATATCTATCTATCTATCTATCTCTCTATCTGTCTATCTACCTATTTATCTATCTATCTATCTATCTATCAATCTATCTTTCTACCATCTATCTATCTATCTGTCTATCTACCCCCCCCCCCCCAAATTGTCTCTTGAAACAGCTCCATACTGTAAGGTGAACTATGTGTGTGGCTTTGAGTTCTCATGGTTGAGTGGATCCTTGTGTTTGGACACCACTGAACATTACGAATGACGCGTTAAAATGTGTCGACTCCGAAGGAGGACATAATATTATTATAGACCATTGGTTCTCGGAAATCCAGAATTTAAAAAAAATGTTTTAATTTTGTAGGAAAAAAGAAATATTGTTTAAAAGTTACACGGATGGAAAGATTAAAATTTTAAAAATAAAAGGAAAGGAAAAAACCCCCAATCATTTCAAGACTTTACTTACCATATATTTTTAATTGGTGCTTTTTGGATTTATATGTGGTTTTAATAAAAAGCCATTTCCATTTTCAAAAATAGGTTTCTTCTTTGTGAATTTTATGTCAAACAAATTCCTTTTGAATGAATTGTACCTGTTCCAAATTACAATATTCTAATACAAATGTTGTTGCGAGATATTTAGAAAAAAAGTTGTACAGTGTTTTTGGATCACCCTGTAGTTTTTGTATGTGAATGTCTTTGTAATTTTGGTAGTGTGTTAATATGATCATTTTAGAACGTTCTTGTTTTGTTCTTTTCCTTTCAGCCTTTTTTTGTTGTTGGGAGGGTAAGGTTGTTTTTTTCAATCTTTTTCCTTTATTACTTCAACATATATCGTATGGGCTCAACAGCTTAAATATCTTGCATGCACAAACAATTGCAACTGGTGAAACCAATCCTGAAAAATAGAAACGTCTCAATGACTACTAAAAATAAAAAATTCTAAGAGACACCCTAATGTGGGGCGCTATCGATTGTAATCTTATATATACTAGTAGATCAGTAGTTCTGAAAGGAGGGGGGGGGGTGCTCTGGTGTGATTTTCTTCTTCTTTCCTATCAAACATCTATCGTCTTTATCTCCCTTCCCTTTTTGTTTTTCTTACTCTCTTGTAACGCCTCTAATCTTCGGCACTTATATGACCTTATTGTGTTGCAAGTGCCATTAAACACTTACTAAAACTAAACTAACTTAGTTGGATGACCAAAACTGAGTCGATAGTGCCGTAAAACACTACTTTAACAAACAAACGTAGCTGGAGGGGTGGTTGAAGGGCTCCACTGGTAGGTCCTACCTCCTTACGTTCCCTCTGTTGTTTCTGTCTGTCTGTCTTATTTTTTTAATTACTATACGACCATTCTTCTATTTGATTCTCTTTACTCAAACAAACAAACAAGACCATGAGGTCAGAAACGTAATTCTCTGTCTTATCTATCAAAAGAGTAAGATTATTCGGAATGGTTATCAAAATATTCAAAAAAACTTGACATGTTTTGAAACTCAAAATTGTTAAGGTCAAATTTCTCAAGACTAGGTACTGAGCAGATAGAACTTTGTAACTCAAAGAGGATGAGCGTTCTCTTTATTCGACACCGCTTGAAGACGAGCTGTTTAGGGAACTTTAAAACCATAGCCATTTTTTAATTCTGTCTTCTTGATCTGGATTTTTTAAAAAAACAACAGCCAACAATAAGCATACTTTAAAGAATGCAATTTCATGTTTATGATTTGTATTATGGGGTGAATGGAATGGACGAACACACACACACACGCACACATACACCCCCCCCCCACACACACACACATACACACACACAAAACACACACATACACACTCACATAACCCCCCCCCACACAGACACACTCACGTAAACACACACACACAAACACAGACATACACACACACACAGACACACACGCGCGCACACACACACACTCACTCACACACACACACACACACACAAATAATTCGTGTCGCAACATTTCCTATGGTCATGTGAAAGGACTTAAGATGTCTCCTCTACCCCCATAAAGAGTCAAAAGATGCCTGAAACGACCACCGTAGAGGGCTATTATTCAGCAAGGAATCCAAGAGTCCAAGTATAGTCTCCATTAATGAGATAGAGATCGAGAGCGGATTCGTCTGAGTGGGTAAAGGTTGGAGGAACAAGAAGATACCGGTTTTGTAAGCACCAAAAGAATCCACATTGATAGTTAATTTGAGCTATCTTAGAGTGTATCTATAATGGGGTGACCATTGGGGGATTGGTTCTCTAATACAAACCGATTGCCATCCGGGTGATCAGTTTGTGCCACGATAGCCGCTTTGCGCCCTCAATCTGGCTAGGAAACAGAACCGAAAGAAACTGATCGTGCTAAAAAAGGGCACTGGGTTTAACATGTTGCTTCGCTCATCTCTCGCCGCTTTGTGCCACGATAGCCGCTTTTCGCCTTCAATCTGGTTAGTAAACCGAACTGAACCGATCGTGCTAAAAAAAAAGGGCACTGGATATTACATGTGTCGCGCTTATCTCTCGCCGCTTTGTGATCCTGCATTCTTTTTACTTTTTGACCCCCTTGCCTCTTGTACACATACATAGTGGCATTAAGTGTTAGCACACGGCTAGCACACGGCATCGATCGGTTGTAAGCGGGTATGTGTTTTATTCCGCCCCTTACTGACACTTGTTTTGTTTTGTTTAGTATAGGGTTTTACCGCGCTCGCAACTGCATAAGGTCATATGAACGCGCGGGACACACCTAATACTTTTTCGGTGGTAGGAAATTTTGAATTTTGCCCGCGTGGCGGCCGAAGCCTACTCTTATCGATTTTAGATCACCAAGGGATCTTTAACGTGCGTAACTTGCACACGGGCCCTCCAAGATTTTTCGCCCTTGTCCGAGAAGGCTAGGTGTAGATCTTTCCTACCAGAAGATCAGGGGTGTGGCAGAAAGACAGCAGTTAGGAGGAGCCAAGGAGTAGCAGTAGAAAGGCTGCAGAAAGAGTCAGGAGCCCAGAGGAGGGGGCAAAGGAGGTGAGGGGGTGGGGCAGAAAGTGGAAATGAAAGCAGACAACAGAACATTGTTAGAGATCAGGAAAGGATGTGAAAGGAGACAATTTTAGAGAAGAAAATGTTTTGGTCGCTACCCGGAATCGAACCCGGGACCTTTGAATGAGAGGCCAACACCTTAACCTCTAGGCCACGAGAGCCCCCTTACTGACACTGGTAAAACTGAGGGCAAGCAAGGCAGGTGTACGCCCAGAACAACATACTTAGGGAACCCTAAACAAATGGGTAACAGGGAAAGATCAGGGAAACGTAGCTTTTTTTAGAGCATTTGAGCAAAGGAATGAATGGAAAACCATGATCGCCGATGTCTGTCGCTGATCTGGCACTGGAGGATGATGACTGACACTGTTAGGTTATTTTAAAAAGCGGGACCTTCGAGTTCAACGTACATCTCCGAAAGGACCTAGCCAAAATATGGGAACATTTAAAATAATCAGCGCCTCCTGTTACCGACCGTATACGGTTTTTTTTCGTATAGCCACGTATTTCTAAGCCTGCCACTCCCACGGTGCGGATGGTTGGAGGGCACCACTGCCAGGTCCTACGTCTTTACATTCTTTTTGTGGTTTCTCTCTGTCTGTCTTACTTTTACCCAGCACTAAATGACCATTATTGTGCTGATGAGATTCTCTTTACCCGTACAGAATGAACTACCCGTCACCCTGCAGTCTACTGCGAGATGAATAAAGATTGTCATTGTCATTGTCTC